TTGAGCGCAGTACTAGACTGGCGGCAAGGTCTCATTAATGTAACGTTGAATTTACTAGATGCAATCGTAATTTCTCTGCTAACAGTTTCTCGCACCTATCGCTCGTGGAATTCCGTTCCAGATCCATGCTTTTCAGCCAGCTTTAATCTTCAAAACTTTAAATGCAATGTCAATCGATTTCTACTGTCTTCTTGATTCCTCATACTTTATTGTTCTCGCTCATTGATGATTTTTATATTTTTCTTATTCTTTCACGACCAGTAATCCCTTGTGTCTTAGTGGCTTTACTGCCTTGCTTGGTGTGAAATGATCAGGGGAAAAAAGAGGTCTCTGAGAATGGTGGGAATCCAGTCTAACTTTCTATAATATTCTGTTCCTAATAATTGAACATCCTGTAAATTAAGCCCGACAGAAAGATCTTCAATGTCAAAGTATGTCAGGTTCTACTTCAGAATACTCGACATTGGTTTCTAACAATATTTTCTCATACGTCTAGTAATGCTGATAACGTTTCTCTTTTTACTTTCACGCTCAGTAACCCCCTTGCACCTGAGGGGCTTTACTGCCTTGCTTGCGTTGAAATTCTAAAAAAAAAAAAAAAAAAAAGATCTAGACATTTAGTGGATTTGGAGCTTGGAAGACAATTTTCAGTGGCTATCTTAACGCAAGTATGACGATAGTAGATTTAAACTTTCTAGAGTCTAACATAAAACCTATCAAAGAAGAATTAAGTCAAGTGCAAAATGACACTGTCACGAACACTGCATTTAACACCAGCTCTTGGATGGCTGCATATGTTGATAACAAATGCGTGTTTTCTTCCAAATGAGAAAACGATGCGAAAACCTTGTATGAAGGTATCCTTGCGTTTGGTTTTGTTTATCTCAACATTTCATTTCTTTCCTCTTCTTTCGAATCCCAAGTCAAAGAATATTATTTGCATAAACCAGATAAAATCGAGGTATTTCTTGTCTGCTTGTAAAATCCAGATTATTTCGGTCGGTCTTCTAGGCATAATACATGTTAACCCGATTTGTCAATTTTACAGATCAATTGCGTTTAACAGCCATACTAGTTACAGAGCCATAGTCTACTATAAACCTAAAAAAAGGATTTTTTACTAATATTCACTCTATACATTCCCCAAGAACCACTCAAGGTAGAGCTTATTGAAAGAGTTTATTATAAATGTAAAAGTCAAGAGGCATATGTGGGAAAGGTAACGATTAACCTTAGATTTGAACAGGTTAAGACTATAGTGGTCGGGAAAGTATCCTCTTGGGAGTCAGTTCTACGATGCAACGGTTCATGGGAAGAAGTGGTTCGAGTGGAACTTCTTTCTTACTAGTGGAATACCAAGAGAATGAAGGTGTTTCGCCTCAGTGAACATGATCCGGGGGTGGGGTTCAGTTGTTAGGGTTAAAGTTGATGGAAATAAGAAATGTAGCACGTCAGAATATTTCCCATGAAAATAGCGAGAGTAGCGAGAGATTTGCAATTTCGTCTGTGAGAAGGTGGCTGTAAGGTGTAAAAGTGATTCATTACCCACAAGGCCACGTAGATGTTTTGAACGCTATCAAGACTGGAAAGTGAAAACTGAGCAGCTCCAGGCCAGATATGTCAATTTAGGAATTCTAAAAATGGAAATCCGCCTATTCAAAATATTGTACAAAATGTCTGCTCTTTCGTTTTTGTTAAGGACTCCATGTTATTTGATTCATTCTGAGTCGTTTAAACACATCTGGTATATACAGTTTGTTTTTTTTATGGAATTTTCTAACAAAAAAGTGATATTCTTTGTAATAATTCTTGTTTATATCATTAAAATATAACCCATTTTTAGCAATAATCTTTAGATTAGATTATAGTATATACAAAAACATGAACCAAGACACTTGTATAATCGCCATTGCCTTAATCTGCACTGATTTTTTCCCCGGTTTTGTAAAAAAAAAAAAAAAAAGAAAAAAAAAAAGGCAAATAAATTTTCCCATCATTGAACTACATTAAAATATATTTCCAGATAGAAGATAGCATTTACGAACGAACTGAGTAAATTTCTACTTAAATTGGTTGAATTTTGATTATAAAATATTTTCTATAATTTTCAAGATTCGGCTGTAACTAAGAAATATGATAATAGTCGATTTTTAATATTTCTCTTTTGTTTGTAATACTGCTAGTGTAATGGATAGCTGTTCGAAATGAGAAATCGAAGAGTCGCGATCAAATTCCAGTTGGGTTCGTTACATTCATTTACGGGCAAATAACGGTATGAATCTATCTACCCGACCATAGCTATAGGATAAATAGTAGAATTTGTATCAGGAAAAATGCTTTTCATTCTCAAAAAATTGCTAATGCAATATTTACTCGCAAAAGAATTATTATAATCTCAAAAATGATTCGACTTTGAAAAATCCACAAATGTTTGATAAACCGGAGAGAAGAAATCAATTACTCAATTTATAAGTAGCTCGGGTGGCCGAAAGCAGCAACAAATCAAACAATGATGATATATTGCAGGGGTGGCCAACCCTGCTTAATGTCAGAACCACATACGATAAAGTTCATATGTTTGAGAGCCACAAGACATGACCAAAATTTACACATCCGTTTCTGTTAGATACACATTAACATTAATCTTAAGTTTTAATTCAATGGCGTCTCAATTCATACCCAGTAAATTATTATAAAGATTGATTTTTTTCTTATTTATATTTTTTTATTAACTGTGATGAAAAAAAAAGAAGCAAAGTCAACATATTTCCACGAGCTGCATATTAAAGTTGCGGTTTGGCCACCCCGGGTATATTATGAATTTTCGAATAAAAAAAGATCTCATAACGTGTTATCAAGTGAGATACTATTTTTTTTATTAATTTATTTTTTTACATAATTTCTGTTTGGACGTGCGTGCATACAGGTAACGTAACTGTCATGCATACATAGATATACACACACACACACACGCACACACACACACACACATATATATATATATATATATATATTTCTAAAGAATTAATGGATTTAATTTTTAGTACGTTATTTTTATTATTGAAAATTTTCTCTGTATATATATATATATATATATATATATATATATATATATATATATGTGTGTGTGTGTGTGTGTGTGAGAGAGAGAGAGAGAGAGAGAATTAAAGATCAAATACAGATCAAATATGGATCTGAATACGACACCTATTTGTTCTTTACCTTACCATATACAGGATGCGATGACTAAATTGTCGCCATTTTATATTTTTAATTTCGCGCATGTGCCTTATTTGTTTTTGACTGCACAGTATAGTCGGGTCAGTTGGGCGCCGTCTGTGAGAAAAAAAGAGCACCATGACACGATTCACTTCGCCAGATATTTGAAAACGGCATGCTGTACTGCTTGTCATTTGCACCGAAGCTCCAATATGAACATGTGGAATAATGTATTATTCCATCTACGACATTTTACGCGCGCGCGAGTTTCCTCCCTTCTTCCACGAGTGCGCGCGCGCGTTTGACACCCCCCTTTCTGTCTCTTTTTAGTCTAATACAGTAGTAACTGTTTTGGTCACCAGCCAAAACTTGCTATGCAAATTAGATTTTTGAAATCTTGCCGCGAAAAAATTTGTGACGTCAACGACAAACTGTTGTTTCAAAAAGTTAGTTGGTGTTCCAGACTCAGGACCTAAGCAGACTCATTTTTTATCCATGTCAGTTGACTGGCGAAGGAAATAATACTATGCGACCAAAATAATTAATTCTCGTCCCTTCTGGCTCGTCATTCATAATCATTTTCCTGAGACGATGTCTACCAAATAATTAATTTTCGTTCCTTTTGGCTGGTCATTCAAGAACCCTTTTCGAGACGATGCAATACCAGATAATTTTTTTCTCGTCCCTTTTGGCTCAAGTCATTCAAATTTCTTCTACAAGACTATGAGAACACCAGCTAATTAATTCCTCGTCCCTTTTGCCTCGTCATTCAAAGACCTCCCCGAGATGATGCAAAACATCCAAAATATTAATTCCTCGGCCCTTTTGAGACTCGTCATTCAAAGTTCTACTCGAGACGATGCAGAACATACAAAATAACAATCCGTCGTCCACTTTGGGTCTCGTCAGAAATCTGTTCTGAACCAGTACAAAAAAAAAAAAAAAAAATATGTACATAACAATAACATTCACTCACATTACCTAAAAACTCGCAGTGAGTATTTTTCCTTGCATGAATATTATCAACATTGACTTATCTGGCATCCCTTCTTCAAGAAACTTCCCGCCTTTAGCCATCTTATTTTCTATTTTGGCGCGGAACTTTTTTTGGTCCCTACCACGGACAAATTACTTTATTTCCTGCATTTAATAAAAATTACTCTTGTTGAAACCCAGTCTTTTCAGTCATTTGAGGAGGCTATCTTGTTAATATATTTTAATCAACGTGGATTAACCACATTTTCGTTCGTTGTTCATCCACGCACATTTTTATCTTTTACTTTGCTTGTAGACTCGGTAGTTTAGTGTGGTGTCTGGCACAAGGCCACTCAGTATAATCCAGCACTGCACCCTACCGGGTCCGCAACAAGATTGGTACCTTACGACGTGATACGAACACGCTGATTTTGCAACCTTGCCAACATATTTCTGAGCAAGCTTAAATATAAACCATAAATTGATAGCCGGAATGACGTCTAGTGATTTAAGAGTCGGCGAACATGTCCGCCGCCGTCGCCCTTTTCCCCTTTCATGAAGGAATAATAAAGAACTGGTTCTTACAAATGGAAGCCATTTTCACAGTCAGAAGGATTACAGACCAAAAGACCAAGTTTGGCCACGTGGTGGCGGTTTTCCACCCGCCATTGTCGATGAGGTCTCAGACTTCCTAGAAGCCGTTCCTGAAGTAGAACCCTACGCGCGGTTAAAAGAAGCAATCTTAAGGAGAATGGGCCGTACAGAGGAGTCATTAATCCGGGAACTATTTAGCAACCTAACTTGTGATGGAAGGACCCTCCCAACTTCTTCGTTATATGAAAAGCCGACTCGGCAAAATACCATGGCTGACTCCTATTAAAAAGCTTGTGGCTGGACCGTCTCCCCACCACCATAACCCAAATTTTGGCGCCAATGTCCGAAAACACTCGATCGATCAATTAGCGGACGCCGCGGATCGTATTTTCTCGCAACTGGATAATCAGACAACGCCGGTACACAGTGCTGAAGCGACTGGAGACCACAGGTCCTTGAAAAAACAGTCGAGGAATTGCAGCGCCAAGTTAAGGATTTAACATTAGAAAAGAGCCGTGGTCACCGGTTCCTTCCGCCGGCGCTTCAGAAGTCGACCACGCTCGTCCAGCCGAGATAAGGATGCCACTCCTACTATGTGTTACTACCACCGAAGATTTGGGTCTAAAGCTTATTACTGCGTCAAGCCGTGTACTTATACTGCGGTCGCGGAAAAACAAAACCGCCAGCGAGTGAAAGCGACTAATCTCGCTGGCAAGGCATTTTCACCAAAACTTAGTCGCCTTTTTATGTGACGGACACGCGTAATAATTTACGTTTTTGGTTGATACCGGCGCTGCCATTAGTGTCTTACCTGTGCGTGATAAAGCTCGTCAACAACCTTTTCAGCTCCGCTTACAAGCAGCAAATGGTTCCAGTATTAATACTTACGGTACGAAGTCCCTTACCCAAAACATAGGGATGCGACGAGACTTTACTTGAATTTTACTGTTGCTGACGTCAAGATGCCGATATTACAGATTTCCTGGCGCACTATGATCTCGCCGTGTTCGTGAACAACCATTCCCTGACTGACAACTTAACAAGACTGTGTGTTCTTGGCACTTATTCTAAACTTACCACCACTGGCATCACCGTGGCAACGTGCCACAATAAAGAGTACTTAGACTTATTGAATCAGTACCAGGACCTCCTGCGTCCTGCTGGATCTATTGATTCAACTAAACATAAAACACAGCACTTTATTAAGACCACTGGTCAACCTGTTTTTTCCTGTCCTCGTCGTCTAGCACCTAAACAAATTAAAATTCGCAAAGAAAGCTTTCGACGACATGCTACGAGAGGGTGTTATTCGTCCGTCCGATAGTCCTTACGCTTCCCTCTCCATTTAGTACCCTAAACCAGGAAAGGAGGACTATAGAATTTGTGGGATTATAGAAGATTGAATTCCATCACCGTCCGGGATCGTTATCCATCCCCACCTCCACGATTTCACTTCTGGTTTACAAGGCGCAAAGATTTTTACTAAAAAATAGATCTAGCAAAAAAACTATTATCAGGTGCCAGTAGCTGCTGCTGATGTCCCAAAACTGCTGTTACTACACCTTTCGGTCTATTTGAATTTTTTTGAAAATGCCTTTCGGCCTTTGCAACGCAGCACAGACATTCCAACGTCTTATGGACGAGGTTCTGCGTGGACTCCCTTTTGTTTTCGATTACATTGACGACATTCTGATAGCTAGCGAGGACGCTGCCTCGCATAAACAACACCTACACGAAGTTCTTCAACGTTTGTCCCATTACGGATTTCGTCTAAACCTGGACAAATGTGTCTTCGGATCAGACCATATAGAATTTTTAGGACATCACGTCGATGCAAATGGAATTGCCCCTTTAACTGAAAAGATTAAAGCTATCACTGAGTTTCCGTCCCTGTTTCTATTAAACAGTTGAGACGCTTTATAGGGATGATCAACTTTACAGGAGGTTTATTCCAAACTGTTCTAACATTCTGACTCCCTTACCAACTTATTACAGAAGAAGAATAAGACTATTATACTTGAGAGTGAAGCCTTGACGCCTTTTTCGAGCAGCTAAAACCGCTCTAGGCAATTTTTTAAGCTCAGTTTCTTAGAGGACGACCTCAATCGGATATCTACCTGACCACTGACGCTAGCGAAACAGCAATAGGCGCGGTCATTGAACAAGTCACTCCTTCTCAACGTAGACCTATAGCGTTCTTTTCCGCTAAACTTTCTCCTGCCCAGTCACGCTACAGTACCTTTTCTCGTGAACTGTTGGCTATATTTCGTGCCATTAAGCATTTCAGACACCTCCTCGAAGGTAGGTCCTTCGTTATTTTTACGGACCACAAACCTTTAACGTCCATTATGTCCACCAATTCGGACAAATACACTTCGAGGGAAATCAGATACCTGGACTATATATCTCAATTTACTACTGATATTAGGTACATTAAGGGTTCGGATAACACTGTCGCCGATACCCTATCTCGTACTGAAATGTTTGTCGTGCATACTGATGCACTCAGTCAAGATTTGATCGCCGACGAACAGGAAGCGGACATAACTCTGAAGCATGTTATCAGACACTTCTTTAGAACTTCAGAAATGTCCGGCTCCTTTTAGTAACAAGGTCTTATACTGTGATGTAAAATCCAAATCTCAAGACCTTATGTTCCTCCGTCTCTTCGTAGACAGGTTTTGACCACCTACACGGACTCTCACACCCTAGCAAAAGAGCCACAGTTAAGTTAATTTCGGACCGTTTCGTTTGGCCGAATATGAACGTTCACATTCGCGAATGGGTTAATACTTGTTTACAATGTCAGAAGTGTAAGGCATAGACACACAAAATCTCCTGTGGGCACTTTCAGCGAGCCTGATGCTCGTTTTACTAATATACACCTGGACTTAGTTGGGCCCTACCAACCTGCCATGGTTATTCCTACCTTCTAACTATAGTGGATCGTTTTTCCCGATGGCCTACCGCAAATCCCTGTCAAAGATACCACTGCTGTGACTGTCGCAAAAGCTATTTTATGCGACTGGATTTCGATTTTTGGGACTCCTAAAGTGGTTACTACAGATAGAGGAGCACAGTTCCAGTCGTGTCTTTTCAGGAATTCACTGAACTCCTTGGAGCAAAGCATATACGTACTACAGCGTATCACCCCTGTGCTAATGGGCTGGTGGAACGATTCCATCGCACCCTTAAGGCTTCGCTATCAACGAAGCATGAGAATAATAATTGGGTCGATGAATTACCCTCATCCTTTATCGTTAAGAAATATTCTTAAGATGACTTGAAATGCTCCCCTGCAGAGCTTGTATTTGGTACTTCGTTATCTTTACCTGGCCAATATTTTTCACCAGCTGCACCACACCACCAGTTTTCTTCCTCTTTTTATTCAGGACTTACGCCTTAAAATGGCAAACTTATGCTATACACCACCGCGGCACTGCCCGAGTGATATCTATTTACCGCACCAGCTCAAGGACTGCGAATTTGTATTTGTACGTAATGACTGACTCTGTTAAGCGGCCTCTTTACGCCGGCCTACACAGGCCCATACCGCGTTCTTAAACGCGCGGACAAATATTTCCAAATACAAAAGGTATTCACACCGACAACGTTTCAATAGATCGGTTGAAACCTGCCTTTATAGAAAACCGTCGTCTCATACTACTTCCCAATCAACTCCGCAAGTTCAGGAGAATTTCAAGACACCTGTCTCTCGACAAACCGAAGTATACCAGCTCCGGTCGAAAAGTCACCTTTCCAAAGAAATTTGAAACATTCTACTTATTATTAGTCAAATGTCTGCGACATTTGATCCAGGAGGAGGGCTGTGTGGAATAATGTATTATTCCATCTACGACATTTTACGCGCGCGAGTTTCCTCCCTTTCCACGCTTGTGTGCGCGCGCGCGTTTGACACCCCTTTTCTCTTTTTTTTAGTCTAATACAGTAGTAACTGTTTTTGGTCACCAGCCAAGCGACTTGTATGCAAATTAGATTTTTGAAATCTTGCCGCGAAAAATTTGTGACGTCAACGACAAACTGTTGTTTCAAAAAGTTGTTGGTGTTCCAGACTCGGACCTAAGCAGACTCATTTTATCCATGTCAATATTTCAGGTTGACTGGCGAAGGAAATAATACTATGCGACCATTAAATAATTAATTCCTCGTCCCTTCTGGCTCGTCATTCATAATCATTTTCCTGAGACGATGCAATACCAAATAATTAATTTTTCGTTCCTTTTGGCTGGTCATTCAAGAACCCTTTTCGAGACGATGCAATACCAGATAATTTTTTTCGTCCCTTTTTCTCGTCATTCGAATTTCTTCTCAAGACTATGAGAACACCAGATAATTAATTCTCGTCCCTTTTGCCTCGTCATTCAAAGACCTCCTCCGAGATGATGCAAAACATCCAAATATTAATTCTCGGCCCTTTGAGACTCGTCATTCAAAGTTCTACTCCGAGACGATGCAGAACATACAAAATAACAATCCGTCGTCCACTTTGGGTCTCAGAGAAATCTGTTCTGAACCAGTACAAAAAAATAAAAAAAATATGTACATAACAATAACATTCACTCACATTACCTAAAAACTGCAGTGAGTATTTTTCCTTGCATGAATATTATCATGTACATTGACTTATCTGGCATCTCCTTCTTCTTCAAGAAACTTCCCGCCTTTTAGCCATCTTGTTTTCTATTTTTTATGGAACTTTTCATTGGTCCCACCACGGGACAAATTACTTGTTTTTCCTGCATTTAATAAAAAATTACTCTTGTTGAAACCCAGTCTTTTCAGTCATTCCGAGGAGGCTATCTTGTTAATATATTTTAATCATGCACGTGTGGATTAACCACATTTCTTCGTTGTTCATCCACGCACATTTTTATCTTTTTACTTTGCTTGTAGACTCGGTAGTTTAGTGTGGTGTCTGGCACAAGGCCACTCAGTATAATCCAGCACTGCACCCTACCGGGTCCGCAACAAACACTTCAGAGTGTTTGTCTGAGGACAGTGCAGAGAATTCGAAAAGAGTTGGATGAGTCTAATGGTGATTACGAAGGTACGGCAGCTCGGAAAACTCACTCTGATCGTTCTGATAAGTGAAGAACTCCCGAATTTGTTGGTGACGGCTTCAGACAGTGAGGTCTACATCGTGTCTTAAGGAGGTTATTCTGCCTGGTTCAAGATGGTAGCTTCTGGAAGACACCAGGTCTGGCAATAAGAATTTGTACCATGTCACACAAGCAGGAGAAGTCAGTCATGGCTTTCAGACAATATCTGCGACCACATCACTCCTTACATCTGGCCACCTAACTACCCAGACTGCAACCTTTTTTATTACTATGAGCGACAGACCAACAAAACACCTTGTAACACCAAAAATGAACTGAAGGCAAGTATCATGGCAGCATTCATCAACTTAAACAAGGAGACCGTCCAGAAGAGTTGCAGGTGATTCCGAAATCGTCTGTAGACCGTGTTTGAAGCCAATGGCGATTTTATTGAAAAAAAAAAACTCTAGTATTTCAAGACGAGATAATTTTGTTAAATATATATGTTCAAATGGGATGTCAATGTTATTTCCTGCAATTTATCCATCGCACCATATATATATATATATATATATATATATATATATATATATATATATATATATCACCTTGAAAAACGCAAATATATGCACTGTATGCAACGCTGATGATGAAACATACTTCGGACAAAGCCAATTCTCAATACAAATAAGATAACCAACATCCCAAAAAGAAAATAAAATAAAAATCTAAATAAATAAACAAATTAAGTAAATAATAAACAAATCAACAAATTACGAATGCACACATAAACACAAATAAATGTAATAATAATAATAATCAACAAACAAGTAAATCAATAATAAATAATGAGTAAAAAGTTATTTACAAATAACAGTGTTCAGGTCCATAATTATTTCTGCTCAGTGGCCTCTAGAATACATTGAAACAAAACTGTTACCTCCTACCTAAAGGGTAATACAATAGACCTTACTACCCATAATACACCACTGGCCAGTATAAATAGACGAGCCAAAATACAACAAACATGGCCTGAAGAATACACTGAAACATGAAACAGATTGTCGCTGCTTGGCGCTGACTTCAATGTTCATATTTACTTATATACCATGATATTGTGCCCTTTTACCCATAAATATTGCATATCTTTTTGTCATGTTATTATTTACGTATAAGGAAGCATATGTTTGGTTTCATTAAATGTGATCGAGCGCTTTCAGGCAGACCTCTGGTCATTATAAAGAACCGGCCGTTTCTGTGGATGCTGCTTGATTTTGACATTTTCGAAATATTTTTAAATTCGACCTTGACCGTTTGTACCGTATGATGACGTCAAACAGGCGAGATTTTTCCTTGAGCTAAATCTGCCGTCAGTTATCTTGCATTCGCATAAAATCCCAGTTTCCAAACTGAAAGCGATCTTTATTTTAGTCTTAAATTTTTAAAAATGTTATTTTGTTTTTTTTAGCTTCGATAATTTGAAATCTATTTTGCCAGTTAATATTAATTACACGCGCTTTGCTAACGATGTTTTTGCTGTATGCGTGTGAAATTGTTAGTGATTACTGTTTCAAACGGATTTTTATTGTAACTATTTATTGAATTTTCCTTAAGCTATTAAAATGACTGCTTTCTTGAGCCTTAGTAGAATAAGTACAATTTTTTCTATCGTTCTTTGTCTATATTTGTGAATGTATGTGTATTTATATCAGTGGGTCTATACGACGTTTAGAGAGGACACACTTCTGCCTGCAAAACAATAAAAAATTAAAAAGGACACACTAGGTGATCAAAAGTACATTCTCAGTTTTTTATTATTAGTTACTTGTTTCCTTACAGCTTCAATTATCATTGTGTAGTAATTTTATGGGTCATTTTAATGAAGCTTTTCTCAATTTTAAATTATTTTTTCTTAGGAGAGAATGGAAAAAGAGAGATCATCACGTCTCTTTTCCCGAATAAAGGCGTATAGAAGATGCGGAACTGCTATGTGAAATTTGAAAGGTACAAGCATTTGTTACATCGACATGAAACAATATATCAAAGTACCATTTTTACAAAAAAGTTTGAACAAAAATTTCGTTTTACGCGTCTTATAGTGAACAAGGCAAGATAACGTAACAAAATTATAGAAATTATTGCTCTAAAAAGATTTACAATACAGTTTTTCAGATCATGAAAAACGTTGACAAGGTGATACAAAAATGTTTGGAAAAAGGAAGAAATTACTCGTTTAGAAAAAGGTGCACCTACAGAGAGGTGAAAAACCTTACTTTGCCTTATCCTGTGAGTGTTTCTAGAGCATTCAATGATATTTTAAAATGTCATTCGGTTTTGTTCATGCTTTCTTTGAGCTTCTTTTTTGTTATCGGCTGCACTGATGTAGGTTTTGAAATTTTTCTTTGTTTTTCTTTTTCATCATCGTAGTCTTTGAGAATGCCGAAAACCATTTAGCTTTTTGATCTCCTAGCAACTACTAGCGATTTTCACGTGAGCGCCAAAATCCTTCAGTTCCTTGCAGTCAACCGGCTTCCTTCACATCTGGGGTCTAAGCTTCTTCACTGCCTCCCTGTAGTCAGACGGTTTCCTTCGCATCTGACGTCTCAGTCCCTTCTGCTGTTATCCGCTGATTCTTGGGTGTGGCTCAAATGAGTTTCATCTTTAAATTTCCATGGTAGAAACCAGCATTTTTGATCAGACAAAAAATACAAAATAATAATTTTTTTTTTTTCTGGCGGAACTTTTTTCTAAATTAAAAAAAGCAAAACTTTTAAACAGTTTTATACAAAATGTCTGGCTTTCTTTTAATGCATTTATCCCAAAAGTAAATCTATCAGGCAAACACAGAATATAATCTTTTTAATTATTATTTTTAAGTATTTTATACTACTAACTAATAATATTTTTTCATAAAAAATTGATTTGGTGAGTTAAGAGCTCCAGCTTTTCACTAATTAGTACTTTTCTTTATTCAGAAGAATATTTATAGACTTTTGGATTCGAACAATTTGTTTTTAACGAAAACAGTTCTTTTTTCAACAAAGAGATTTTATTAATCTTAACTTATCGAATAGATATTTAATAAAATTTCAGGTATTCGCCTGTTTACTTCGCTCTGTAACGTTTAGTTGAAAACATTTTGGAAGGTATAGATACAGACATGCATAGTACTTTACCGGAAGTCATTCCATTCTGATAAAATAAAATGTTAATTAAAAAATAACTCTTTTTTGCTAATCAAATATTGGCATTATTTACACGCCTCTCTCTCACTGTATGTGTGTGTATGTGTGTGTATGTGTGTGTATGTGTGCAAAAGAGGGGAGTGCAGGGTGGCGCAATGGTTACCAGAATGAAAAATGTAACCGGTACATCAAGTTTGAATTTCGTCTGAGATAACGTGGCAGGATCTCTCGTCACTGGCAGTTCGAAAGCCGATTTTCAGGGCTGGTGGTCATTTTCATTTCGAACATCTATTTATATTTCGTCCCATTATCCTGCCAACGGACAAAAAATTTTAATCTCTCTCTCTCTCTCTCTATATATATATATATATATATATATATATATATATATATATATATATATATATATATATATATATATATATATATATATATCACTCACTCACCATACACACACGCGCGTACGTTTTTCAGATAGAAAAAGAGAATAAAATACTTTCCTTCAGCAAAAAATCTGGAACGTTCTACCAATTTGACTGTCAGTATAAAAATTCATTGTGACATTTAAATAACACTGCTTTCAAAGAAGGCTTTCTTTATTTCTCTTTGGTGTGTGTGTGTGTGTGTGTGTGTGAGGACATGGACATACACAAAGGAAATACCCCCCACACACACACACAAAAGGAAGGAAATATATGGGTCATAAACTAACAAATCTCAAATTCCCCAAATCCGCCCAAATAAACAGAGACTCACATCCATGTTGAATAAAATCATGTCTTGCTTGTTTTATGGTGAAAAAATCAAGAACAAATCAAAAAGAATCGGAATATACCACCAAAGCTTTTGACGAAGAGGACGATTACTTTCATATTGAAGCTTATTCAAATATATAAGTAAAGACATTTTTAATAAGGTATGACTAGAAAGAGAGTGGGGCAAAATACACGCACCTTCAACCACCCATATCTCAACGCGGTTCCACACCCGCTCTAATAGTCGGCCCTGTTGTCTTTCTTTTACTTCGTCACTTTAACGAAACGTGTTGCTTCACTGTTGGTGATGTGTTAAGCAGGCGGCTATCTTTATTAAAGGGCCACCATGTTACAATTCAATTGTTGCGGTTAAATCACAGACAAAAAAGGCGTTATGTGCGTGGAAAATTGAAGAGAGAGTGTGACGACGGCGATGAAAGCGGTGAGATGATAAAAGAAGATAAGTGATGAATTTGAAGGCTATGTGAATAATTGATACGAAGAAGAAATGTTATTATTATGTTATGAAAGAAATACAAACAATCTCAACAAGTAACAGGCGAATGAAAAATAGTTATTCCTGATAAAATGTAAGAAAGATAATATTTACACTGTGATAGCGACAAGGGTTACGACGACGGCTGGTAATTTAAAAAAAGAAAACGGAAATATTTTTTCAAGTTAATTATATTACAAAGAAAAGAAAAAGGTGACGATTCCATTGATATTCGAAAGAAAATGAAGAAAATGAAATTAGAAGCAACAATAAATAGGAAGAAATTAAAAAAAACGGGAAGAAAAAGAAAGTGAATTAAGTCGGATGAGTTTGTAAAATCATCAAGTCGGAAACGGTGATGATCATCAAACATGTTTGAAAATTATGATAATTGGTTACCAAATGATTGTCGTTGTGTTGGTGATGGCGACAGTCGAGGTATAGAAAATATTTAAAGAATATTTTACAGGTGTTGATGGGGGAAGGAAGATGGATATGAAGATGGGGAGGAGGAAGGAAGATGGATATGAAGATGGGGAGGAGGAAGGAAGATGGATATGAAGATGGGGAGGAGGAAACTATTGGTAATGAAAAAAGAAACGACACAGAAGATAAAAAAGATGAAAATCCACGGAAAAGGAAAAAGGTGTTAATTGACAAACGATGATGGTGATTATAGCAAAAGGAATGTTAATAATTTAAAAAAATATTTTAAAGGCATCATCATTGTCATAATAAAAATAAGAATGAGAAAAGAAAAAAGAAAAAGTAAAGTTACTCGTGAAAATAAGAAAAAAATATTATAATAGTTGCTATTATTGATAATTAATAAAAATTTGGGTGGATTTGAGTCATACTCATGGTTATTGGAATACTGGGAGCAATTATGGAAAATCTAGAAAAAAAATGATGGCGAAGCAAGAGATCTGGATGAGTATTGAGGCCAGACAGACGCCAGCTCTGCTAAAATCGGCTTGGATACTGAGGAGAGTCCTGGAATATTAAAGAGACTTACTATTATTTACTTTCTCTTGAAAACCATCAGTTACTACTGGTGGAACAGCAACAACAACAGCAACAACAGCAACAATAATAAAGAAGAAGAAGAAGAAGAAGAAGAAGAAGAAGAAGAAGAAGAAGAAGAAGAAGTGCTTTATGACAGTGGCGGTTACAATACCAAGATAGAATCATAGGTTAAAAAAACGTCTAGAAATGACAGACAAATAATACAAGAAATTAAAAAAATTCCGTGAGATTTAATGATGATGATGATGATGAGGAGGAGGAGGAGGAGCAGGAGCAGTAGAAAGATGAGAATGCTCGAGCTGGCGTTGCTGATGATGATCGTGCTGGTGTTGCTGATCATTCTATTGCTGGTGTTGATAATGATAATGATGCTCGCGATGAATAATAATAATAATAATAATAATAATAATAATAATAATGATGATGATGACTAGTTATGGCCTTGATAATGATTAGCAGAAAGCGAATCGAAGAAGATATGATCAAAATTAGGAAGATCTTAATAACAACAATAGTGATCACTTGCTGAACATTTCAAGAAATGAAAATGAAATTGTTGCTCAAATCGATAAAGTTGAACGACTGGGCGAAAATGTTTGAACAAAAATATGGTAAAATAAAACTATAATAGAAATGTTTATTATAAAAAAAATACATGATTTCATGGATAAATTAAGATAATAATAATAATAATAATAATAATAATAATAATAATAATAATAATATAATAATAATTTCTGAATGTAGATGTAAAATAAATTCAGAAATAGATAATTATCTTGTTATCTTGCCAGGAAACTGAGGAAATTGTAGAATATGAAGATGATAGTCATGCCAGTCATTATCAGACCACTGTGAAGAGCCCACGAAGAAGGCTGGTGGAACTAGGAATTATGGAAAGAGTTGGAACCATCCAGACAACACAACATTCTCGAATGCAGAATACTATGGAGGGTGCTGGAATACTGAAGAAACTTGCTGTCACTTGAGCTCCAATGTACACCACCAGTTAATCACGGCGTAAATACTCGCAGAGTGAATAATAATAATAATAATAATAATAATAATAATAATGATGATGATGATGATGATGATGACGATGGCTTACGCTTAAAAAATTGATAACATGGTTTGATGCTCAAAATTATTCACAGTGGGAGGAAAATAAAAAATATATTTTAAATGCATAATTTTTTTTTAATTAACACAGACCATGGTAGTGGTGAAGGCGGTGGATAGGTGCAGGTGGAGGTAGAGGTGGTGATAATGATGGCAGCGAAGGTGGCGGCGGTGATGATGATGATTAATACAAGTATCTAAACAAATTAAAGTCAAATGGAAATAAAAAGAAAGCAAGTCTTTAAAATTGCAGCAGCAGCAGCAACAACAACACCAACGACAACAACAACAACAACAATAATAATAATAATAATAATAATAATAATAATAATAATAATAATAATAATAATGCATGGGACAATAAAGTTAGTTATGTAAAAAAACCTAAAACAATAAAAAGCTGTAGCAATATAGATGGCACCAACTGGAAGTCATTATTTTGAATTTAAAGAATTTTTTTTCTTTGATTTCTGTTGTATACTCATTTCCTTCCGGGTCCCAGCCAGAGACCTAAGGTTAGAAATGGCTTCATGGCATTTTCCAATGATCATTTTTGTAAAAAAAAAAAAGAAATCCCAAGATCACACACATTTTACATGCATAAAGCTCTTCCTAATGTGTCAGCTGTACTTGTGAGTACATTTTTTTTTGTATTTCTTTAAGGCATGGCCTATCAGAAATCACTTCAGTGAATCTACCGGAACCTTTTCCAATCAATCCGAGGGCTCCAACTAAAACTGGAATTATTGATGTCCTCTTCTAACACATTTTTGAGATTTCCACTTTTCAAGATTTTTGTATTTTGAGAGTTTTTTTGAAGATCTTCAAAGATACACTGCAATCTGCACGGACCTGCCATGTCAATTATTATTATTATTATTATTATTATTATTATTATTATTATTATTATTGGTGGTGGTGGTTGTGGTGTTCTTTGCTGCTGTTGTTTTTTTTTTTTTTTATTTCTTTTGTTTGATTGCCAGATCTTTCTCCTGAGACCGAACATAATTTTTTCTAAAAAGTTAATTTTTCTAAAACCTTGAGCGCTACACATCAACACATTGTTTTGCATTTCAGATAAAGACCGGATTTCTTGGGATTTTCTTAATGTGTCTGTCAGTGTTCGTTTTATTTTTCTTACTTCATACCTAGCGCGCTCCGACTACGACTGGCACAATGATTGTGTTTCTTCTAATTTCTATTTTGAAATCGTTATATTAGGGGGGGGGTATCAGACAGGCATGACTATGAGACAGCATTTATGTCCTTTGAAGTTTCTATTATTATTATTATTATTATTATTATTATTATTATTGGTCGCCATGAGTGATAATAATAGCGAAAAAATTAAATTATTTACTATGACAATAATTTTAGTAATGATAATTTCAATAAGAATTTTCGCATCACAGTAAATTCCAAACAGTACGATGAATATTGTAATTGATGATGCTGATACTGAAATCATGAAAAAATATGATGATGTAAAAGACGAAGATATTTGAAGAAAAACATAAAACGAAATCTGTGTAAATAAAAAAATAGAAATGGTGATGACAACGAAACACCTAATAATGTTATTTGCAACGTAATTATTTTGATTGATTATAAAACACAAACGATGACGATAGGAACGAGAATGAGGAAGAAAAAAAGTTGAATGGAAAAAAAAAAATGATCCATATTGAATGGAAAAAGGGTTGCGTGAAAATAATGATGGGAAGATGAAGATATATAAGAAGAAGAAAACATTTGAGTGTCACCACAACAATGAAGTTCATTTTGAAAAACAGGCTTTGTTTTTAATCAATTCGGCTGTCTTTTAAAAGCTTTTCTTTTAAAATGATCTGATAACTAAAAACCACATAATTTTGGCTTTTTACAAGATTGGTCTGCTCGTTTTTCTTTCTTTCTCTCTCTCTCTCTCTCTCTCTCTCTCTATCTATCTATCTCTCTATCTATCTAGCTATCTATATATATATATGTTTGTATTCTTTCTCTATTTCACTCTTGATCCACTCACATTGTCTATCATTTAGTCTTTACAGACACAGTGAATAGGTGAAACATGTTAACGATTTTGTTAACTTGATAGATAGATAGATAGATAGATAGATAGATAGATAGATAGATAGACTGAGATATATATGAGCAGTTTGAGATAAATAAAAAGAAAGAAAGAAAGAAAGAAAGAAAGAAAGAAAGAAAGAGAGGAGGATAAAGTGGAACAGATAGATAGATAGATAGATAGATAGATAGATAGATAGATAGATAGATAGATAGATAGATAGCGGAACAGAGTGATATATATATATTATATATAAGCAAATTGAGCTGGATATATTGATAGAGAGACAGAAAGAGAGAGAGGAAGATAAAATGGAACAGGCTGAGATAGATAGATAGATAGATAGATAGATAGATAGATAGATAGATAGATAGATAGATAGATAAAAAAGAAATGATTAATTAACTGCTTAATTAGCGTGGATTTAAGTACATTTGCATAAAGTAGAATGGATCTTATGGACTGATCGATTATTGATAGAAACTGACTTACGACTCAATAAACGGAGAGGAACAGAAATCGTCTGAGCGAATTGAGGGACTGAAATTGAGAGAGGTTAGAAGTCACAATATTTCTGGCGAAAGAGAGAGAGAGAGAGAGGAGCTTTTTGTGTAATGAGGACCGGAAATGAGAAGGAATTGTCGTCGCTAAAGTGTCTCAAAGAGGCAACGAAAGACGGCCAAATGAAAAAGGCAAGCCAATCAATTTTATGTTTCTGCAGTTCCTTTTCCCTCCGTATGATCTCTCTCTCTCTCTCTCTCTCTCTCTCTCTCTCTCTCTCATTCCTACCTCTGTAAATTCGCCATGATCGGGAATGTCTTTGTGTAAGACCAAAGAGAATGATAGCAAACTGAATGGAAACAATATCGGCATTAATAATTAGTCATAGCCAAAAAATGAACATCTAATTGTGGTAAAAATTAAAACCAATTTATTTACATTTTTAAAAGTTTTTTTTTAATGTAATGTTTGAAGCTAATGTTCTGTTAACTTATTCCAAAGAAATGATTATAATTCGAAATGTTCGTAGAAATAAACATCTATCGAATATATGATAGAAAAATGTCATTGATCAGTGTTTATATGATAAAAGAAAGTACAATCGTATTGACTTCAAAAAGTTGGCATGTACTTTCAGTTGTCAGTGAGAATTTTGATCTCTAGCTGCTTCGGGAAAGATTGTTGGTTGGTGTAGATTTTTGTCGAAGATCTGGCATTTTTAACTGACTGCGACATATTGCAAAGTCACGTAGTAATCTGTTACAAAGGGATACAAACACAAATAGTTTTATTTTAATTTACTAAAAGTGACAGCAATTGGTTTAAAATTCATTTTTGACGGCTTTTTTTCGTAGAACCTGCCGATCTGTTTTGACCCTGCAGTTTAGAAAACAAATGAAAAAACATTGCTTCCAAACACAATACAGTTTCTATTCTAAAATACAAAACAATAAGTCAAATTCCAGAATCTGCATGATTTTTATATTAATTACAACATTCACAAATTTGTATTTTACAAAATGATTTTCAGTACCTGAAATAAGACCCCAGAATTAATAAGTGAAATTCCACTTAACCCAGGCAACAACCTTGAACTCTACAGCCATTCCTTAGATCGTCTAGACTACTCAAATTATTTATTCATCAAAGAAACGTAACATGTCATAACTCCTTTATAATCTAAGTAAACATAATATTTCCGATAGTATTTTTACCTCACATAGCACACATACAATAATCTGACCTCCTCACTTGACTTGTGACAGTTCAAATATATGTAATTTTTTGCAACAGATGCATGAAAGGAAATTCTATCGGTGAAACTCGTACAGAATTCTGTCTCTCGTTTAATAATCACAAAAAAACCTATAAGAGGCAACATCATCAATTTCATTCTAGCTACACATTTAAACCAAGCACACAGTAGTATTAATAACTTTAGATGCATCTTTTATGGGTCTTCATTTAGTTGCTAACAAAATCGCCAAAAGTTAAAATTGTTTTTTTAAAATAAATTACAAATCAATCAAGGAGAAAAAAAATATCTAATTGTGATCAAATCTACGAAAGATGAGGGAAGCACCCGTGAGTATGATTTTCTGATCGATATGCTGTTAAACAAAACAAACAAAAGTTAGACTTGAACAAGTTAAGATTGTCGTGATCTCTTGGGAGTCGGTTCCACAGAGCAGTGATTCGCAGGTAGGAACTACTCGAGTGGAATTTACTTCTCACCAATAAAATACGGATGGACTGTGGGTGGTTTACTACAATGTGTGTAGCATAACGGGTCCTAGCATTGAAGGTTTCACCAGGCGGGACCAAGAATGAAGTTCGCCTGAGGACATTCCATTGAAATAGCGATAGAACAGTCAGTGAGAGACTCGCCATATCTCGTCTGTGATAGAAAGGTTTGCAGTGTGTAAAATAATTTGTAAGCCACAAGGACTCGGAGGCACTTTTGGATTCTAGACTGGAAAGTGAGGAGGACTGGGCACAAGGAGTCAGGTACTTACTGGAGTGGTACAGGGAACTGAGCATTTTTCTTGCATTTTTAGCAATGAACCGTATGCACGAGATCCAGTTGAGGTCTGCGTTGAGTTTAAGGCCCAATAGTCACTCAAGGCACAGGGCCTCCTCATGGAGACATCCATTCGTCGTGTCGAGGTGTATAATTGAGAGCCATGATTCTTTACGTGATATAATGGCTGCTTTAATTGATTTTAATCTCTCTCTTTCTTCCCCCTCTCTCTCTCTCTCTCTCTCTCTCTCTCCGAAATTATACTGTGGGTGATAAGCAGTTGTTCCCAGTCTATAAAAAAACAACAATTTTGTTAGTTCGAAAAAACAACTCACTTTTCACCACCCACAACATGAACTCACTATATTCTGTGTATTTAAAAAGAAATCAGCTGCTGATTGTGCGGTAATATTAGTTAATGGTTGAGTCTCAATCCAACGAGTTAAAAGATCTATAGACATTAAAGGATATTTAGGGATTCGAAACATTAATTCAGTGGCCCAACAATATCTTCATGGAGGGTTTTAAAATGTGATAGCGGTAATTTAAAGTTTTGAATATGATATCTGAATGTTTATGAAATTTTGACTGTTTTGTAGTGAGGACTGCGTGTTTGTATAATTACACAATATTCATGTATTTAATGATTGTGAAACAGTACACACAAATGATTTAGAAGTAATGAAAGTTTAGTGAAAACCATTTGAAAATTTCCCTTGTCAAAATGTAACTTTATGATTCTAATTTAGAATTTGGCGCTATAATATGAGCGCAGATTGATATTTACCTTCTGCTAAAAAGGTTTTAGAACTGACAGAGTTTGCATTTTGGCACACTACATACAAGATCGGTGCAAGGGTTTATTCAATTTATGATTTCGAATAAATATATTTTGAACGTAATTAAATGCCTTCAACTACAAATAAAATATATTGTTGGTCATTTTATTATAAAATGTATTGTTGGTCCTTTTTTATATAAAATATATTGCTGGTATTTTTACTATAAAAATGTATTTTTATACTTTCATAGTGTTTTGTTTCGGCGTTCACTATTTGTCCAAATCTGGGACCCGAACAGGTGCTACCACCCCGGGTCTGGGTGGACCTGGGAACAACAACAATTAAGAGGTAGTTCCACGCTGCTTAGAAGCTCCATCCCCTGACCAGAGGTCTTGCTGCCAGATGTAGTTTATTGTCATACCCAGGACCATTTACCTTACTTACAAAATTGATAAATAGGTCGAAAATGTTCCTTTAAAAAGGTCCCGTTAATGCTAAAAACAAAACACAAAAGTACGCCAGCTTTAGCAAATCTTTTTAAGAAATGCATATTGATATGTCAACTGCCACAAATCAAACAATTTGAGCTGGGAACAACATCAATTAAGAGGTGGTTCCACGCTCCTCAAAACCGCCAATCTTCCGATCAGAAGCCTTGCTGCCGGATGTAGTTTATCGTCGTAACCAGAACTATATGTGTTTATAGATCATTACATCTTAAATATATCAACAATGTTTTGCGGCAATTTTTAGCATCATATGAAATTTTTCTTGTTAAAAAGTTGAATAATTTTAACACATTTAACATTATGGATGAAAAATAATAGTGAATTTTATATAGTATTTTATCGACACTTAGCATGAGCAAAACTAATTGTCAGAAAAATCCCAGAATCATGTCAAAATCCACAAAAACATTTCATTTTATTTTTAGGGTTTAGGGTTAGGGGTTTTTTTTAGGGTTAAAATTTTTCATTTTTTATCAGTCAGTTGTGCATAGTTTCCTTTGTAACGTATATAAAAATGTAGGGAGAAAAGTGTTGATCAGATAATGAAGATCACAAAGAACTGCACGGTGCCCCCAATGAGGTCCAAGCCCCCACCACCGCCACCAGTTGGGCGGGTAGTATGCGCCGGCCTTGTCGAAACAAAAATACATTTACACAAAGCCTCCGATATAAAAGGTTGCCGATAAGTAATGAATACCTAATATAATATTTTTAAATTATTAACTGATACTGAAAACTCTTTTAGTTATTTATCTCCATTAACTCGCTAAAAAAGGCTATGAAAAAAAGGCCCCAAACTTGATTAAAACAAATTTTTATCGTCTAAATGTGTATGTTATTAAGAGGAAAGACCAAAGTGTTTGATTATTTTTTAGATTTTTGAATCTTTCCCAACATGTCCGAAATTTTAGTTAAAAATCTTGTTTATTTTCTTTTGAATCAGCAAAATTGGCAAAAATCGATTATGTCCGCCATTTTTGAGAAATTTGCAAAAAAAAAAAAAGTGAAATTCTCCGTTTAAAAATCTTGTAAAAATCAATGATACTTTTTCAAAAGTTATTTAAGGAAAATTAGAAAATTTAAAGT